CATTATCCTCACACCATATTTCTCTATTTCTATGAAAGACAATGTAAAAGTGCCTTAAACATTAGAACAAGTTTTGAGGTAGCTTGAAAGAACTGCCAGTGATAGCTCATACTTTTGGAAAGTTTTGAAACCCATGATAATTTTTCGTCTCTTTGGATTGGGTTTCTGTGATGTCATGGAGAAGACTCTTGGCCTTCATTCATCTAACTGGAACGCAAAGGAAGCTATCTGAAATCAGCAGTGCTGCGGTGGTGTTAAAGCCACTGTCTGCAGTGGTTACCACCTGTTATGAGACAAGGTTAGTAAGTGAAAGGATCTAAAAATAACTAGGGGCTAAGATAGCACATTTCAGATAAATTCATCAGAGTTATGGCATGTTTAGGATATTGAAAAACAATCTTAGTACTGCGTCTTAACTCTATGAACTCAGACCGAGTTCTCACAGACTAAGCTCAAGGGAGAATTGCCTTTCCCTTCCGTGGTTCTGAAAGAAAGAAAAAGGGAAAATATTAGCTATTTTACACCAAGATGTCAATGTGACAGTCTTTTTTTTTTTTTACTAAATTTTTTAATTTATTTTTTGCTGAGTTGGGTCTTTGTTGCTGCGCTTGGGCTTTCTCTAGTTGCAGCGAGCAGGGGCTACTCCTCATTGTGGTGCGAGGGCTTCTCATTGCTGTGGCTTAGAGCATGGGCTCTAGGTGTGCGGGCTTCAGTAGCTGTGGCTTGCAGGCTCTAGAGCACAGGCTCAGCAGCTGTGGTGCACGGGCCTAGTTACTCCACGGCATGTGGGATCTTCCCAGACCAGGTCTCGAACCCGTGTCCCCGGCATTGGCAGGCGGATTCTTAACCACTGCACCATCAGGGAAGCTCATGACAGTCATTTTTTAATGAGAAGACTGTTCTTCTCTTTCTCCTCCACCAATTCAACCCTTGCTACATTATAGTTTGTCTAAAACTAGTACAAATGTTGATTTGCTCTGAATTGCTTAATATTTTTGTTGTGGAAGAATTACAGGTCCGTCTTGAACTTACTTCTTGAAGAATTATACAACTCCACTCCTCCACCACCTCTCATATTAAGTAAAACCCTTATACCCTTATAGGAAAGTTTCAAATGAAAATATACAATGTTTGTCATAACCTTTGGTATTTCTTCTCAGTAACAATAGTAAGGGAAAGTGACCCCATGTTTCTCCATTCATAATAATAGACACATATCTAAATAAATACTACCCTCTGCAATTTAAATTCCATACAGGTAAAAGGTTCTCAATGAACGTCAAGAATACAGCAAAACTTCATTAATTCAAATTTTGCTTATTTAGAAGTACAATAAGTTAGACTCATGGTATGCCACTATTATGAACACATTTACTAAGCAAAATATTATACAAAAATTATAAAGAAAAAAACATTAGACTGAAAAACACTCACTCATGAGAGTTTTAAACATTTATTTATATTGCTTTTCTCCTAATTAAATGCAATTAATGTTATTTACTGACTCATCTTGCAAACAAATTAGAGCATTCGATGCCATTTCAGAAGACTTAATCTTCACAACTTTCAGATATTTTTTATATTTATTTAAAACGCATTTCCTTGAACCATATGATTGTTGAGTAAAATTGCAAGATTCTAATAGCTTTTCAAGGGAGTATAAATTAGTAAATTATTACTTACTGTACTAGCTTTAAAAAAATGTTCTCCCCTTTCATAAACTAAAGGCCGTGTGTCTTGGTCTGTACTGGTCTAACGTGCCAGCACATCTCCCCAACCCCTCTGTATCTGTATCTTGGTCATGTCAGATGGACACTGACAGGACACTAGGACCACCTCTGCAGTGATTGCCTGAACTTTTTGCCTGCCCAATATGGCTCCCCCTTTTTGGGGGTATTGGTACCTATATCCCCTTTAGGAAATTTCCTCTATTTTTAGTTCATGTAGACTATGGTATCTTTGCTTAGGGTCCTCAGAAAGAGGAGCCTGAGGCAAATGGCTTATGTGCTACTACTTAGTTAGGGAGTACAGTCCCAGGGAGCGAGAGTAAGGCACAAGCAGAGAAGGAAGAAAAGCCAATCTAAGAATGTGCTATCAAGCTGTCCTCCAAGGAGCCTTTTAAACACTGTTCTTAGGAGAGTTTCTCCTGGAGAAGAAAGAGAAGAATTTATCCATCAGCTTCTATCTCTCTTTGGTCAAAGGTTTGCCCAAGGTTACACAACTGGAGTGGTGGGTTAAAGATTCAAATGCAGGAAGTCTGGCTCTAGAGCCCTTGGCCATTCATCAAATGTTCTCATAAATGTTAGTCATTGATAAGAGCTAAGGAGAAAGTAGAAGCAAGGATAGTGGGCAGGGCAGGGTTTGGAAATTTTCAGTTGACAAGGGATGTGGCTTCACTGAGGTGATATTTGAGTAAAGACCTGAAGATCAATCAGATCTCTAGAGAAAGAGGGTTCCAGTTCCAGGAAATGCATAGAACTGAGATGCTGTGTTTGGTGGATAATGAAGTAAATGTGGCAGCAGCAGTGTGAGTGAGAGGAGAGCAGCAGGACATAAGGCCAGAGAGAAGAGAGGGCTACAGATCATGCAGGGCCTTGGGCCATTGTAAGACCTTTGGCTCTTACTCCAAGATGGGAAGCCTTTGACAGGTTAGGAGCAGAGAAGTGATATGCTCTGACTGAGTATTAATAGAATCATTAGGATAATAGAGCAAAAAGGGGCCAAGGTAGAAGCAGGAATAAGCAGTTATAAGGCTTTTGCAATCTCTAGGTGAGAGAAACTAGTGTCTTTGTCTGGGGTGCTGGGAGTGGAGGTGATGAAGAGTAGTTGGGCCCTTGATATATTCTGAAAGTGGAAGCAGGTTCTGCTGATGGATTAAGTTAGAAATAAGTAACAAAATAAATAATTAGAAAAGGCCCTATATTGAGAAATTTGAAAAGATATTTTGACTAACTCATGGGATGATGAAGAAATCCTAATGAAAATTTTAAAAGGAAATATTTAGAACCAAAGAAAAATATGTGAGATGCAGCTAAAGCATACTTGAAGGAAATTTACAACTTTAAATGCTTATATTAAAAGAGAAGAGAGACTAAAATTTAATAATTAAGTATCCAACTTGAGAAGTTAGGAAAATAACAGCAGAATGCACTCAAAGAATTAGAAGGAATTATCAATAGTAAATTAGAGAAATCAATATAACATGTAATAAGTATAAAACAGAACCAACAGTCAAAAAATTGGTTCTTTTAAAATATTAATAAAATGTATATACTTGGCCAAACTGATTAATTTTAAAAAAGCAAAGGTAAATAATATTAGGAACAAAAAAAAAGATAAAAGTATAGATGCTGAGAAATTAAGAAAATAATTAAAGGATATTATAAGTAAATTTATGTTAATAAATATTATAACTTAAAATAAATAAAATGGCCAAATTCCTGGACAAAAGTAATTTAACAGAATAGAATCAAGAAGAAATGGAAAACCTGTACAGTCCAATAATCATAGAAAAATATAGAATCAGTAGTTAAAAATCTCCCCACAAAGAGAACACCATTACCAAATAGTTTTATTGGCAAATTCTACCAAACATATAAGAAACAAAATTTCAGAATATTACAAAAGAAGTAACACCTCCCACCTCATTTCATGAGGCTAGGATAAACTTGATACCAAACCTTGATGAGGATAGTTTAAGAAAATTACATGTTAATATCATTTATGAACATACAAGCAAAAATCCTAAAGAAAATATTAGCAAATTAAATACAGCAGTCTGTAAAAAAAAATACACTGTGACCAATTTGGATTGATCCAGGAATGCAAGATTAGCTTAAAATTTTAAAAACTTAATGTAACATATATAACTAATGAAAGGATAAATAATAATATGAGCACATCTCAATAAATGTAGGAAAAAGAACTTTACATAACTCAACATACATTTAAGAAAAAAAATCTTAACAAAATGGGATTGATAGGACATTACTTAACCTGCTACAGAGTATTACAGTCCTAAACAGACTTTAAAAAAACTAATTGAGCTGTTTTTTAAAATGTATATGACATGGTAAAGGGCGAACAAGAGCCAATTTCCAAAGAAGAAGAATAAGGTAAGGGTACTTGCCCTGCCAAATATCAAGATTTACCAGATATAATCAACACAGTATGGTACTGGACAGGGAGAGAGAAACTGACAAATTGAAGAAAATAGAACACACAGAAACAGACCCACACTTAAATGGAGGTGTCATATTTTATAAAATGGTTACTGAAGATTAATGGGAGAGTAATTGCTGCCAGGACAAAAGAAAGAGAGAGAGAGAGAGAGAGAGAGAGAGAGAGAGAGAGAGAAAGAGAGAGAGATGATTCCTCGACAATGAGTATCCAGTCTTGTTCATAGTTTTATTTCCAGTGTCTAGCACTGTGCCTGGAATATAGGAAACAATTATTAAATATTTGGGTAATGCATGAATTAATAAATAAATAAATGTGTGAATGATGGCTACAAAGTAACCAAATTCTACAACTGAAATATTTGAAATTTGTTTAAGCTTTATCATTCACTCATCTCACTCTGTTATTTGAAGTGTTCCCCAAATAGATTTAGTTTAAGACAATATTATTTCGGGTTGTAAAACCACTTTTCATATATTCTTCCTTTCTTCACATTGATTAGAGATACTTTATACAGGAGCAAAAAACATTCCAAATTAATTCAGTTCTGTATTTCCAGAATGATGTTTCTCTGAAAGGGAATACATCTTCCATGTTGTAACACAGCACAGGTTGTACATACATTTTAAAAATTGCTATCTTTCCTCTTCATTAAAATAAAACATTAATTAGAATTGTCTGGAACATCTTTAGGTGCCCAATACATGTTTGATGAATGAATAAAATATTAAAGGTATAAGAAAGTGTGCTTATTTTTTTATATATAGGAATGACTCTTCCTATTCACTTATTATCAATTTTCTTGTCATTTCTTTCTGAAGGAGTTTGATTGGCCAATAGAAGGGCTGCTACTTCCAAATGGTCCTCCCATGAAGAAACCCATCTCTAAGACATTGGAGCAATATGTCCCTGTGAGACTCAGAGTTTTGCGGAATGGAGACAAGAACAAAACCAGAGCCCTTATTATAATCAGTCCAGACATCTCACCTAGGCGGAAAATGCAGTAAGAACAACTTGTTCATATTTTGCATCAAGCATACTTTCTAATTTCTACAGATTTTTGTCTTCTTGATTACAGATGTTTTTCTGGGGAAATTTTGTGTTTATTCTTTTTTTTTTTTTTTTTTTTTTTGCGGTACGCGGGCCTCTCACTGTTGTGGCCTCTCCCGCTGCGGAGCAACAGGCTCTGGATGCGCAGGCTCAGCGGCCATGCTCATGGGCCCAGCCGCTCCGCGGCACGTGGGATCTTCCCGGACCGGGGCACGAACCCGTGTCCCCTGCATCGGCAGGCAGACTCTCAACCACTGCGCCACCAGGGAAGCCCTGTGTTTATTCTTTAAAAAGGGCTCTCATATTGATATTTGGAGGTAAAAATAGATACTAAAATTCATTTAGTTTCTATGTTAGGAACTTAATTTGAACACTGGTGATTTAGGCTGGCCATGAGAGAACATGAGTTAGAAATAAGTAGTTCTGATAAAAAAAAGTTTTATGATCAATATCTATTTTGAATTAGCATTATTGTTTGGGTTTATTAATGTATTTTGAAATAAATGAGCTCATAAATTGCTTCTTAAATCTAATTTTGTAATTTCTTATTTAAGTTAGTATTTACTTTGTTATTCTTTACATTATTTAAGTTATTACACACAATTATTTACATTTAGATCTTTGTAATATTTAATGAACAAATATAGTTCTCAAAATATAACTTTACATAATCTATATCCTTGCCTTGGAATAACATTTTAAAAGTTTACCATCCTAGAAAAGCATCAATCTGCCCTTTAGCTTACGTTATGAGGTTGGAATAAAATCTTCCCAAACACCCAGAATTTCTGCAACATTGGAGAAAGTCACCTGCTGTATTTTCATTACATTTTATGACAAAAGGAATCATAGATCAGGGCAAAACTCTGATGTAAAGAATGAATTAAACACATTGTTTCTCATATTATTAGCTGTGATATTACCTCTTGTCCTTTCTTTTGAGATGTTTAGAATATTTGAGGCTGCTGATAATAGTTTAATATTACTTTCTTCACATTGATTAAATATACTTCATACATCACTGAACAATGAGTAACATTCAGATCGGCTGTCCACTGAACTGCCTATAAAGATGATAAAGTAAAAAATTAATCTTCAAAGTAAAGTCAACCCTGAAATTGAAATCTTTGACGCATACATTTCATAATTAGCTCATTCTACTAGACGTAAAATGTGAGGGTAATGCCCTTAAAATAGTCTATGACTTTTTTTTTAACGTGCAAAATTAACAAGTAATTTCTGTCCCTTCCTATCTTTATGTGTCTCAAAATTATATAGAGATTTAATCTGATCAATTTATGTTTTAAAATGCATGATTCAATCAGGTAATCCAAATGTAATTTGAGAGATTTGTTAATTTGGACAGCTATTCTAGTAGAGAGTATGTGAAACTCTCTGCTAAGTTCATGGAACAGTGTGTCCTGGTTAATCAAATATTCACTTTGTTCTCTACATGAATTAATTATTCCTAAATAATTAAAATACACTGGCATACATTTGACATCAAAACTCTACTAAATATAGTTTAATTTTTCTTGGCTGATTCAGAAAATTTTCTACAGGATCATCAGTAGCATTCCCCACACCTTCCCCCCAATCTTTCTGTAAGTACTGGTAACAGAAGATTTAAATAGGGAGTGTTTTGGCTAACATTACATTTGAACACTATACCTTTCATTTAATAAAATATAAAGATTCTAAAAATACACAATTCTTTCTTACTTCAAAATTTGAATGGTGTATATTGCAATTCTTTTTCTATGATAGTCATTAATTTTTTATTAAAAACATTTTTAGTTTTGGATTGATAACTGAAATAGTACCTGAGTAATATATGAATAAACATATAAATATGAACAGTATATGAATAAAACATCAAAGGCAAAATGAATGTAATCTCTGCATTTTCTTCAAAGTTGATAAATTCACATCTCAGAGTGTTCAACATTATTGGAAAAGGATTCAGATATTGAAAATTTATTTTCTTGTATAACTTGTTCATAGTATAAATGTTTGTGAAGTTTAATATTTAATTGTGATAGTATTTGAAATGCTATTTTTTTAAGAAAGGCATTTTTTTTAGAGTAAGTAATGATAAATTAAAACCTCATGATTTATTCACATACTTAAGCTGAATGATAATTGACAATGTATACTGCCATATCAATCAAATCTTGGATCATTTTTTTCAGAAATGTTGACACTGAAAGGAAAGGGGATGTGAAAAATTATGTCACTAAATATTCTGAAACAGAAACAAACCAGACTGGATTTCACCAACTTTTGGAGAGGTAAATACTACCCTAAATGCAAAGGTATATTCCATTCAAGTGCCTGAATGATTATAACACAAAATACATATGTACCTATAAAAGAAAACAATTGTTAATATAGTGATTCTGGAGTTTTTAATCTGTGAAATATGTAAGCTATGAGTACATGATACCAATGCTAATTAATATGTTTTTCCCCCAAATTTCTAGTTCTGGTGATTTCCCCTAGCTTCTGAACTACAAACTCTGTAAATGTAAATTACCCTCATTAAAAAATATATATCTTACAGCACTTTGGTTTGAATTTGTTTGAACTGAGGGCAGGATATTTACCTACTTTAAATCAATTTTTAAATGTCACTAATCTATACCATATTTGTGAATTACATTATAATTTTTCTTTTCATCAGTATTTTCCTACCCAAACAAGATTTATTCCCATAGAATTTGATAGCTGTTCAAAAGTAGAGCACCTGGTATAAACTTTTTCACAAAATATGTCTTGCTGAATAGGAGAGTGTAGTTTTATAGAATTTAAGGAAAATTATGCTATCCTTTAGTAATTTAATAATTCATTTTAGACGGTTTCGAGGATCTTTTGTTGTTGTTGATTATTCCATCTGCAAAGCTGAAGGGAGACCTAACAGCATAACAAGACCCATTTTAAAATAATAGATATAGACCGTTTTTGTTGATATTTAAATTTGCAGGAAACATGGAGTATTGGAAAAACCAGTCCTGAGAGAACAAAGTCAGAGATAAGACTCTGCTTTTCTGGATACTCTGTAAATCCAAGCCACGTGGTTATCAGTCCTAACTCTTGGTGTGAGGGTCAAAGGACTTCATGTCTAGGACCCTTGCCCCCATGTATTGGGTTGGCCAAAAAGTTTGTTTGGATTTTTCTGTAACATCTTAAGGAAAGACCCGAATGAGCTTTTTTGGCCAACCCAGTAACAGAGAAATCCTGAACTGCTCACTCGGTATCTCAGCCTCAGTTTCTTCCCTGTTATTCTATGATGGTGCCCTCTCAGGAGGCCATATGATGTAGTAAAAGACCCAGAGAGTTTTAGGTTTGAATTTCAGCTTTTGTACTCACTAGCTTTGTGACCTTGGGCAAGGAACTTAATCTCCAGGCTCAGTTTCCTTATCTGTAAAATGGGCTTCTCAGAAAGGGTGTGAGAATTAAACGAGAGAGTAGACATGAAGTGCTTGCAGTGTGTGATCCATTTTAATAATGTGTTGCTGACTTTTATGTGTCAGGTGCTTTACAGGTATTCACACATTTAATCTGTAAGATATCCCTATGAGATAAGTACTGTTACATCTCCCTTTTACTGATGGGGAAAATGAGGCTCAGAGAAGTTAAGTAACTTCTCCAAGGTTACAGAGCCAATACATGAGAGGGCTAGAGTTTGAACCCAGGCAATTTGACTGCAGAGTACACATTCCTTATTAGGCACTTAAGAGCCAGTTCTTTTCTTCTCTCTCCATTGATGTTGGCTGGCACATGAACTAGTTAGAGGAATTCAATACAGAGGAAACAGCTTATCCCGTTCTCTCCAACCCACCTACATGGGCCAGTTGAATTCAGCACTATTAAAATAGGGTTTCCACAGAACTTGTTGGAAAGTTCCTGATACGAGTCTACTATTTGTACCTTGAAAATACTGTGCAATATTAAGGGTCTGGGCTAGTAACAGGTAACAACTTAGTAAACTACTTAGTAATTTAAACTATATATAAAATTTGAAGTTTTAAGAGTTACTGAAGACAGGGTGATTCTGTAGATGAAGTTAAGGAATATATGCCCGGTGGTAGCTACATCAGACTAAAGATGTGTTCTTCAGTGGTTGCTTATGTTTTGCCAGTGTAGCCAGTGCAAAGATAACTCTTCTAAAGCACAGTAGGGAATTAGGTCTGAATTTTAGCGTCTACTGTTGGATTTGCATTTCAGAAAAGAAAAGAAACATAAAAAAATAAAATAAACAAAAATAAAATAAAATAGGGTTTCCAAAAAAAGAAGAAAGAAAAGTCCACCAGCTTCCCCTTCACTTTACTCTCCCACGTGTCCTAAAACTGGTTACTCCCATAGTCCAAAATTCTCCGAGGAAAATGTGAGTGGGATCAGGTTATCATGATTGTAACTCTCCTTAGGTCATGCTTGGATTTGGGGTGAGTAGCAGGAATTGGGTTGGGTCTTTGGGCAGCATCCAGAGAGAATTAAGCAAATCTTCTGGCTGGGGCTCAATTCTCTTACAGTTCTCCCTCCCACC